GTCCTCTCTTGTCGGGCAGTGTTTGACCATTATGGGTTGAGAGCTTAAGTGTAAGACCATTGAAGGTAATACCTAATGGGCTAATCTTGCATTTGCCCACAGTCCTTGCGTTTTCATAAAGTGGATGGACCCAAGGACCATTTAGTGTAAATGTTGGGCCCATTAAGAGCCCATGGTGATGGACTCAAGGGTTCACTGTCTCCTATAGTGAATTCGGCCAGGCCTTATAACAAAGGTTGGGTTGAACCCATGTGGCTGATGTATAGATCAATGTTTGGGTCCCATGCCATACAATGATAGCCAACTGGGCAGTAGGTTAAGAGGTTAAGTGAGCACATAGACTTAATGGGCCTAAAGCCCAAGTCGAACTGGCTTAATAAGATTAATTAAATAGGGGGCGGTTCTGGGATTTGGATCAACAGATAGGACAAGGGATTATCCCTATCCACTTAAAAAGTCCAGATCCAAATAAAGATTTGGATCAGGAAACTCCTAATTTGATTAGGAAGACTGATCTTTATCTGCAGATAAGATAAGGGATTATCCTTATCTCTTAAAGAGAGTCCAGATCCAAATAAAAGATTTGGATTAGGAAACTCCTAATGGGATTAGGAGATCCTCTCTTTAAGGCTATAAATAGGAGAGCAGGGCAGACCTCCAAAGTAACTTACAGTTCGCTGAATTAAGAAAGAAGACAATACACAATTTGACTGCTCCTGTCTTCTGCTCTTTTCTTCCTGTTCTTGACGCCCCTACCTAGTTCGATCTCCATTTGTGGGAGTGATCAAGAATCATTCTTGATATTGCTTCTTGGTAGAAGAGGCAATCTGAAGTCGTGCTCACCAGCCATCTACTACATTCTTGCTAAAGAATTCGGTTCTTGTTGAAGAGTCGTCCTGTTGATTCTGCTTCACCTCACTCTGTGTCATCTTCAGTGGAAGCAGTTTTTGGTCTTCTCCTTGGGCATGAACACCTTCATTGGGAGTTATTGTTACTCCATACCAGGTATATCCCGCTCCTCCCTTTTTGGTTTCAGATCTGGTCCAGTTTGGTTCAAGATTGATCCTTGAAAATGCAGTTTTCTAAAATAGGGAATGCGATTCTCAGATGGGAGAGAGAGAAATTTTTGAAATTTTGCCCAGCCTTCCTGCAGGGTTCGGCCATCCATATTATGGATCTCTCATCCCTACAGTGGTATCAGAGCCAGGTTCAAATCTTGAACCGAATTAAACTAGATCTGGATCTGCACAAAAGGGCAGAAGGCACTCTACCCGATTTGCGTAGTTAACGTTTTTCTGGGAAATCAGTTCCTAGTTTTGGGTGATAGATCTGAAATTAAATCTTTATTAATATGATTAATATTTAGAACTGTTTTATATATTTTTCTTGATTTTTGGGTTGTTCGTATGGTGGAGATCGAATTCTTTAATGGCGCAAGAAATTTGTGCACCTGCTGTTCTATTCATTCTTGGTCTGTAATTAATATTACTTTTAATTTTAGACAGAATGTATAGGAATTCAAATCTGATGTAATATTAATAGAAAATTAGGTTTTCTATTTTATTTCATTCGAAGATGAAGCAGAAAGCACAAAGGAGAGATTTTCGCAGATTTGGGTTCAGCCATCTGCGATTTGCAGTTTTGGAAACTGCATACTGCGAACTAATCTTTGTTTTGCAGAGTAGCAGTCTTACAAACAACCCTCCTACTGATTCTTGATTGTCTTGTATCAATTATTTAACTTCAGATCATCTTCTTGAATTAAATCTTGAAATTAAACATCAAACCCTAGACCCATTCGAACCAGATTGGACCAAACTGGTTGGACCGAATCTATGGTTTGATGGGGGCTGCTCTCAACTTTGGAGATTTTTTGGGGGTGTCCTTTAAAGGAATGGAGGAAATGAAAGCTCTATTGGTGGCGATTGAAAATAGATGGTTGGTAGAGAAAGGGGAAAAGAACAGAAGGAAATCTAAAGAGTTGCTTAGGCTTGCTTGGGGCTTAAATGAAAATGCGAGGAGAGCAAGCCAGAGCAACAAAGCTTCAAAAGTAATTCCAAATGGAGAGTCTCAAAATAATTTCGTGGAACATTCGGAAACTATAGCTCCAGAATTTAAAAGTATGGGGTGGTTCAAAGTGTGTGGGGTCCTTAGCCTTGTGATTAGTTGGCGGTGCCAGCTAATAGTACAATATGGGGAATTGCACTAATTTAGAACAGAAACATGTTTAAGCTGGTGGATAAGGAGGTAGGTTTGTTCTCAGCCTCAGTTAAGCTCCTCTGGTTGCAGTACGATTTGACAATTGTGGTTTCAGGGGTTTACAGGCCTATTGACTCCTCTCTAAAATGTGACTTTTGGGAGGAACTCAATGCAGTAAGAAGGAAATGAGGTGGCCCTTGGGCTATTGGTGGAGATTTCAATGCAATCCTAAAGCAGGAAGACAAAAAGGGGTGCAGGTGTACAAATAGGGGCATGAGATTATTTGCAAATTTCATCCAAAGGTGGGAGCTGCTCGATTTGGCTTAATGGGGCAAAGTACACCTTGACAAATAACCAAGAGGCTCCCTCCTTGGCCAGATTAGATAGGTTCATTATCTCAACAGAATGGGATTACTTTTTTCCAAATACCACCCAGGAAGCTCTGCTGAGAGTTGTCTGATCATATTCTGCTGCAGCTAGTAACTGGTGATCCAAGGAAGAAGGCTCACCCTTTCCGCTTGGAATATTGCTGATTGGGCGCAGAGGGTTTTGATGCAAACATAAAGACTTGGTTGGCAGAAGTATCTTACGAAGGAGAGAGCCCTTGAGAAATGTCTGACCAAGGGCCTGGTAGGAGTTCCAACTTCCAACTGGGGTCAGGCTCGAGACTCTAGATGTTGGAAGTGGACTTCAACCGGATCTTCTCAGTCAAGTCCTTTTACAAGGGCCTGGTAGGAATTCCAAGGGACTCTTTTCCTAGTAAGGTCATTTGGGGTTCTGCTGCACCCTCCAAAGTGAAGTTCTTCACTTGGGTGGTAGCCCTTGAGAAATGTTTGACCAAGGAAATGCTAATGAGAAAGGAGTACATTGTCCAAGATAGACTGTGTGTACTTTGCAACAGAGAGGAAGAGATAGTTGGACATTTGTTTGTGCACTGTAGTTTCAGTTCAGCTGTGTGGAGTCACTTCATAAGGGCTTTCAATCTGCACTGGTGCTGTCCCTTCTCAGTTAAGGATTTGCTGCAAGAATGGGGCATTCCAGGCATGTCCAGAAAAGGAAAAGTTTGTTAGTCAGCAATTCCTTTGGCTGTTTTGTGGGCCATTTGGTCTGAAAGAAATCTGAGAATTTTTTAACAAAATGCATCAACAGAATCAGGGGTGATAAATAGGGTGATAGAGGATCTTAGAAGCTGGTTATCCATCCATACTGTATTTAAAGATGATATTTTATCCTCTTATTTTACTTTTCCTTCTTTTTCTTTTATATCTCTTCTTCAACTCCTACCCATCTTCCATGTTCTTCTCTATTTCCTCTAGTATTCTCCTATATTTTTTCTATATTAATTTGAAACTATTAGTTCTACAATTCGAGTTTTTGGATTTTCTTTTCTTCTTTTATTCTTGGTAGATTTCATTCTGCCACCTTCCAAACATGAACAGAATCTCAGCATTCCTAGAATATTATCAAAATTTAGGACTATGAAAAAACATAGTATTTATCATGAGAAAAAGACATGGGATCAGAGATAGCACAACTTAAGAGTTTAATCTAATCAACAAACTTGAATTGATCCAAATGACAAAGTAAACAGCAAACCTCTTGCAAACAACTTAGCTTAAAAATCAGCTAATTTATTTAATACCTCCGTTACTGCTTTGTAGAGAATATCCATTCTGGATCAAAACATCAACTGATTGAACTTGGGAAAAAACGAACCCAAGGAAAAAATAAAAAATAAAAAAGCCCATCGACGCTGCTTTTAACTCCATCACTCAAACTCAATTACAGAAATCTATTAAACTTCAGAACAAACATCCGCCAAGAAACATTTTCACTTTAGAACTCCAACACAAATTAATAAAATCAATGAACCAACCTCCAACATCAAAATTGCCGTCACTGGGATCAGCTCTAAGTAGATTGGAGCAGTACTCCTCAGACAACCCTAGATCGATTTCTAGGGTTCTATCGACACAAGACGAGAGAATGAACTTCAAGAGCTGTTCTATACAGTCTGCGAGTTGGACTAGGGAGACTCCCGGAGAAGAACGTGGGGGCAGCAACCCTTCCATTTTTCAGTTTTCACTCATCTGTGACTTCCTTTTCTTCGTTTGACGGAAAATGCTAGGACTCCGTTTGGGAAGAATGCTATTTTATCATTCGTCTGTGTATGTTGCACTCTTCGAACACATTTGTATGCACACTTTCCAAACGGAGCCTAGTGTTTAGGTAAATTATAAAAACCCCCCTTCTACTATGGTGTCGATGGCAATAAGTCCTCTAAACTTTCATTTGCGACAACGACCTCCTTTACTTTTTATGGTAATAAGACCCTCTTCTACTATTGATCAGTGATAATTACCCCCTGAATTTTTATTTGCGATAGAGATCCCTGAACTTTCACTTTATGACAAATACCCCCATTCGTTAGAGTTCTGCTGGTTAACTTTGAAAAAAATTCTCCTTCAGCTGTTTAAAATTTTTTAAATCCCCAAACTACTATCTTCTTATTTATTTGAACGATTTCTGATTCAATTAGTTTTCTAAATATAAAATTGAAGTCCTCTAAGGTTTCATTTGGTTTTTTTTTAATTTATTGGAGAAAGGAGTAGATAATTTTTATATTTTAAGATAAAAAGAGGCATTCATGTTAGTTAAATGAAACAATAATTTAAAGAAACATGTTTTTCTACGTGAGTGAAATGATTCTTATTATTTTAGTTGGTTATGTATAGAGAAAATATAAGTATTTTTTGGGTTAATTAGGGTTTAAGAGAAAAGGGCAAGTGAAAGAAAATAAGAAAAGTTCAAGTGAGTATTTTGGTAATTTAGCATTCTATCGTTTAACTTAACGGCATAAGGTTATTTGTTGCAAAGTACGTAAAAGTTTATGGGGTCTTTGTCACGAATGAAAGCTTAGGGAGTAATTGTCACTTACACCATAGTACAAGGGGGTCTTTATAAGTTACCCTTTTTTTCTTCATGGGGCTACACAATGAGGGGTAGCCCATCCTACCAATTGAGCCACCATCAATTGATTAAAATTTTGGTTGTTCTTGGTAGACAACATTCTTCATACAAGTATGACACATATCACAACATCCTCACAGTATGAGAGGATGTTCTAATGGTTTGCTTATGAGAAACCGGATTTTCTCCTCACAAAGCGCTATTGACACCAACCTCACACACATGGCAGCCATGAGTTGGGCACATAGCCCATACTTGTATGGTGTCATTCATGGAGATATGTACCCAATATATGGCTAGGATGTGCTATATTAGGTTGGTGTGACAAGCGGGAAGAGCATATTTGGTAGTTGGTACCATAGTGACAATGTGACATGATAACAAAAAAATCTTATAACCAATCAATTGGGAACCGATTAGGTGGTATTCTTTAAAACTTAAAAGGTTTAAATTATTGAAAATGCAAGGTGTATCAAAAAGGTAATTTCAAGAGGTATTGGGATACATTTTGGATATGTATGATATGGGGAAAAATCAAGATTTGTATTGATATGCTAGGAAACTCAAATAATTTTTAAAAATTATATTACTTATGAGTTTTATATGACTATAAATAAGTTATATGAGTTTTATTTGACTATAGAAAAGTTATTCATGCATGAAAAACCATACTTTAATGATTTATATAAAGTGTAAGGTATCCGAACACAATTGGTAACCATTGAAAAATTAAGAACTAAAGTGTGTATAACCAGCTGCCTAGAGTTTACTACACAGACACTTTCAGTCATGTCATCAAGCAAACTGTAGTGTGTAATCATGCCATTGTCATTGTTATCACTCATAATTGGCCTTTATACCAACTCAACATCCAAAATGCTTTCCTTCATGGTGATTTAGAAGAATTTATGCATATGCAGCAACCCCCTGGCTTTATCAATAAGGATCATCTTATTCATGTTTGCCTTCTCAAAAGATCCCTCTATGGGTTAAAACAGGTGCCTTAATTGGTCATGGTTTCAAAATTTAAGTTCCTTTTCTCTTAGTTGGTTTCACCGATTATTGAACAGACATCTTACTATTTACCAAGCACTTTAGCAGTGATTGTATTACATTGTCATTTACATTGATAATATAAATAGTGCTCAGTAGCATGACCGTTTTTTGGGCCTGATTTTTTTAGAAAAAAGTGCATAAGCCAAAGGTGTGTTAAATTACCAATTTTTAGTTATTTGATTGTCTGGGAACGTTTATTCTAGGTAGGCATAGTTAAAGAAAATAATGCACTATAGAATAAACTCAAGATGAATGGGTGATCATGGCAGGCCGATCCCTTATGTATTTATAGAGTTAGTAAGCATGATTACAATAGGACTCTTGAGAGTTCTAAATAAAGTACAACAAGAAGATAATGAGATAAAGAGATAAGGAGATTAGAGTTAGGATTAGGAGAGGAGAGAGATACAAATCATATTCAAACTCATAGAAGAGAAGAGTATGATCATATTCAAAGTCCCTAATATGGCCCCTCAAGTGAAATGTCTAGGAAGGACATGAAGCTTGGACTGAAGAGAAGCAACCGAGCTCCACTGAGTGGTTTAGAAAGCAGATCCGCCACTTGATTAGCCGAGGAAATAAAGTGAGTAGAAAGAGATTGTTTGAGAACAAGATCTTGTAAGAAGTGAAAATCAACTTCAATATGTCTAGTACGAGCATGGAAAACTGGGTTCGCAACAAGATAAGTGGCACTGATGTTGTCACACCATATCATAGGAATCTGTACAAGAGCCTGTTTTAGATCATGTAACAAGGAGCTGCCCAAAGAAGCTCGGTTGCAGCGTTTGCACAAGCTCAAAATTCAGACTTCGTGCTAGATCGGGCAATAGTGGCTTGTATCTTAGAACTCCAGGCAACTAGAGTGCGACCCAGATAAATGAGATAGCCTCCAGTAGAATGTCTGTCATCTGGGCAGTCAAGCCAATCAGCATCGGAGAAAGCTCGAAGAGTAACCGGAGCCAGTGCGAAGTAAAAATGCAAACCATGATCAGTAGTATGTTTAAGATACCGAATTATCCACTAAACAGCATTCCAGTGTTCTATTGTTGGAGAATGGAGAAACTAACACACCTTGTTCATAAAGAAAGAAATATTGGGCCTCGTAATGGTGACATATTGAAGAGCGCCAATGATGCTCCAATACTTAGAAGGATCAGAAAGAATATCACTAGTAAACTTGGAGAGCTTAGTAGTAGCAACCATAGTAGAAGTGAGGAGTTTAGCTTCAACTAAATTGGTGCGATGTAAGAGATCCAAAATGTATTGCCATTGAGTAAGAACGACACCACGGGGTTGTAGTGTAATCTCCATGCCAAAAAAGTACCGAGCTGACCAAGATCCTTTAAAGAGAAGGTACGACCAAGTGTGGCAACTAAATCATCAAGAGTAGAAGAGGAGGAGCCAGTGAGAAGGATGTCATTGACATAGACCAACATGTATAGAATGATTGAATCCTTTTGGTAAATAAACAAGGAGGGGTTAGATATGGGGAAACCAGGCTGATTTGAGGAGAGAGTACCATGCACGTGGGGCCTACCAAAGACCATAAAGAGCTTTGTTGAGTTTGCAAACATAAGAGGGAGAAGTTGGATCCTCGAAGCCCTTGGGTTGACGAACATAGATCTCCTCCAATACATAGCCATTTAGGAAGGTATTATCAAAGTCTAACTGCCGAAGTGACTAACCAAGAGAAATGGCAAGAGCAAGAATAGTAAAAATGGTGACCGGTTTAACCACCAGACTAAAAATGTCAATGAAATCAACACCCAGAACCTGGCTGAACCCTTGTGAAACAAGACGAGCTTTGTAATGATCAACCAAGCCATCAGCTTGTCGTTTTACTTTGTAAACCCATTTGGTGCTGATGACATTGATGTGTGATTGGTACGAAACGAGCGTCCAAGTGTTGTTATCTATAAGGGCATTGAATTCACGAGACGTAGCTTCACACTAAGCGGGATCCTTATATGCCTTAGAGAAGCAAGAAGGTTTAGTAGAAGTATCTGGCAGTGCAGCTAAGAGTGCTCTCAAAACAGAGTATTGGGATACATTATTAGTCCGTGATGGAAGAGAGCTAGCCTAAGATCGAGTAAGTCTTGTATTGAGCAAGTGTCACACGGTGGAGGAGGAGAAGTCAATGATGTTGAAGTAGCCGATGAAGGAAAAGAAGAAGGAGCCGACGATGGTGATGGAGACGGTGGATCTGATGGATCAGCTGGTTGAGATACTGGCAAAGATGAGGTCGGTGACACATGAATAGTCACACCGGTACAATTTGTGAGAGCAGCTAGAGGGGAAGGAATTCTCATTAAACACAACATGACGAGCAATATATAGTTGACTAGAAGAAGGATGCAAGCATTTGTATCCTTTGTGGGAGTCATTGTAGCCGACGAATATGCATCGAAGAGACTTATAAGAAAATTTGTTGTGATTGTATGGCCTGAGAAGAGGATAGCAGAAACAGCCAAAGGTGCGAAGAAAATTATACTCAGGTGCCTTGCCAAAGAGAGTGGCAAAGGGAGAAGCACCCAATAACAATGATGTAGGAAGCCGATTAGTCAAGTAGACAGCAGTGGAGACAGCATCGTCCCAGAAGGAATATGGGAGATTTGAGGAAGCCAATAGAAACAGGGTACACTCGATGATGTGGCGGTGTTTCCGTTCAACAATGCCATTATGTTCATGAGTGTGAGGGCATGCAATCCGGTGTGTGATGCCGTAAGTATCCAAAAAGGTCAAAACAAGTCGATACTCTCCTCCCCAGTCAGATTGCAAGCATTTATTTTTTTTTCTTAAACAAAACCTTTACATGATGCTTGAATTTAAGAAAAATCTCAAAAACATTGGATTTATTCCACATCAAAAACAACCAAGTAATTTACTATAATCATCAATGAAAATTACATAATATCTATAACCATTATTTGATTGAACCGGGGCAGGACCCCAAACATTTGAATAAATTAACTCTAAGGGACTACTAGACTCACTATTGGAAGAGGAAAGATGCAACCTATGACTTTTACCTAACTGACATGCCTCATAGACAAAAGAAGCATTGTTGGTAGAGAATGGTAGCCCAAAT